AGCAGTGCCGTATGTAAAGACCTGGATCTCAGCCTCCGTGGCACCTCACCTTAGGAGATGCTAACAATCGGCATCACAGTCCAGCCTCACCGATACTGCATTCTTTTCCATCTCTGCAGACTCCTCCCCACTGCCCACACCACTGTTCCCTCTTCTCCACTGTCACATGTCACATATGGTGCACCGACACCAGCATCTCGGCAGAACTTCCAGCTTCCAGGTGCGAGTCAGCCAAACTGTTGTCTGCTTTTAAGACAGAAGTAAGTCACATGGGTCAGGGCTGGGGTGCAAAATTAAGGATCTGGCACTTTTCCTTTTTGTGGAGGGTTTTGGTGGTGGTTTGTTTTTATTTTTGTTTGCTTTGAGACAAGACCTCACCAGCCTCAAACTCGTAAAGATCCACCTGCCTCTGCCTCCCAAGTGCTGGAGTCAAAGTTGTGAGCCACCTCGTCCAACAAGAACCTGGCACACGTGAATGCCTTCCTGAGAGGAGCAGTCAACAGGCTGTGGAGAAATGTCCTGTGCTGCCTATTCCCTATCCAAGGGTCCTCAAAAAGCCAAGAGAAAGGACTTGAATGACCCCAGCTTAGTCCCAGCTCTATCTCCCACCTCGGGATGAGGCCTTCAGACAACCGTCAGTACCACAGATGTTTCTTGGCTACTGCATCCCAGACTCTACTTGAGAGGAGGGCCTCCATGGCCCTGGATCTAGACCACGGAAGTTCACATTCCAACCTGTTCTGCACCATTCTGACCAGACACCATTCTGCACCAAGTGCCCAGGGTCAGGGCTACAGAAGAAATAGGTCCTGGACTAGTGCCCACTTCTTTCCACTGATACAGTAGCTAAAGACCCAAGCCCTGAGTCCAGAGCCCCTGGATCATAAGTAGCTTCATAAGGAGCTGTGTGGGCCCAGAGAAGATATTATTACCCACACTGTAAAACATGGGCAGTAATCTCAGCCTCATAGACTATGAGGGTTAATGAGTTAATGTTGCAAAGTAACTGGAATAGTTCCTGCCACATTTATAAGCACAGTAGTGTTACAGTTTTTAAATTTTCCTTGGATTATTACTAGTAGTCCTAGAGCAGAGGTCCTGACACCAACAGCCCTGTAATTTTTGGCAGGAAATCCTGACTTCCGCGACCCTCCTGCAGTACACCAGGAGCCACAGTTGTTGGCCTTGAGTTGTTCTTCTCTGTTCCTTCCCACCTTCTCCCTCTTGCCCCAGCCCAGCACTTCATGAAGCTCCAGGAACACACCTGATGCCTCGTCAGTGTTGCTGAATTGAACCACTAAAGTTCCGGATCCCTCCCAACCCAATCCCTAGGTCCCTGAACTTCCTCTAAGTATGTGCTGCTTTATCTCTGTCCCCCAGGAAATAGGGCACCAGGGTTTAGATGGTTCCCACCACAGGAAGTACTTACAAATGCTCAACAAAGCCAATAGAATAACCAATCTTTGGGAAACCAGAATCATGAACAAAGCCCTGGGGATACATCTAAATTGTCTTTTTGTCTCTTGGAAGTCAGAGATGGTCTTTCTTGGGAAGTGAAACCAAAGCCCTAGAGATCTACCTGCAGCATCACAGCCCCTCCCTGTCTATGGCCTGTCACCCAACAAATCATGCCAAAGGCATGGGGCTATGGACTGTGCAGGTGCCGCCCCCAGAACAGCTACCCCAACCAGACACACTTTGGTTGGAGAACACCAGAAGGAGCTGCAAGTGCCCACATGTCCTCATCCATTGTAGTAACAGAGCCTGTCAGTGCGGAGGCCCCACATCTGTACAGACAGGCTCACAGTGTTTACATAAGGCCTGCGAGCATGATGTAAGATATGCGGCAGTGGGGTTTCCGCTGCATAGGAATTCCTAGGACTAGACCACAGGGCCTGTGCCTTTCTTCTCGACAGGGATGCTCTAGAGAGCTGTGAGACTTCAGGGCTGGGTGAACCTCTTGGAAACCAGCTAGGGAGTCTCTTTCTCTTCCTGTGTGTCTTTCTAAGGGCTCCTGCTACTGATGAGCATCCAAGTGGTAACAAATACACGAAGAAAGAAAGCAGCCGCCCTCAACTCCTCTGAGCCACAGACTAGCTTCTAGAACAGCAAATCCACATGTGGGGGGTGGGGGGAACAGGCTCAGGCTTGGAGAACACAGAGCCTTTGATGGTCTGAGCTTGACCTTAATTTTGCTGAACTCTTGACCACGATACCTCCTAAGAAGTGCCAGTTAAATATGTTGACTGAGAAGTTGCAACTAGTGGAACCCAAGTCTTTGCCATTTTATTCAAAAATGTTTACTTCATGTTTCCCTATTAAATATAAGCAACTTCCCCTTGTATATATTTGAACCACATTCACACAATGTGTTCCCCATCAACATTTGAATTATGGGCACGGGCCCTGAAATGTTAGTTTTGTGCTAAGATAAATACTGGAATAATATTCACTCTGCTTTTGTGAAGTGCTCAGCAATGGAAGAGCTGAGCACCATTTGCTTTGTTAAGTAACAAAAGGATAAGCCCAGGAAAAGAGATCAAAATGGCTTCCTGGGATGCTTCCACTGCTCTGTCAGGGCCTCTGAGGATGATACACCAGGTTCTCTGGTGACTACAGAAAGTCCCTGAGGCTCCAAGTCTAGCCCTAGGGGACTGACAGTGTCCACTGTGTGTACCAGGCACCTGCCACCACTATCCGCAACTGAAGGGGATAGTGTGACTGAAGCCCCAATACCAAAGCCAACACAAGCTTCGTGGAACTCTAGAGAGAAGATGGAAGAGAGGAAGGGGAAGAATGAGATGGAGGTCAGGTAACAACGGCCAGGGAAGAAATCTCCTCTCCCTTCCTGTTTGGGGGCCCTGACCAGGAAAGCCCTGAGCCACCTTGTGCCATACCCCTGTTCCCCTCTTGGGTGGCTCACTCAAAGCCTGCTGCAGAACTCAAGAACCTCAGCAACCGTCAGGACACCTGCTCCTCCACACATCATGCAGTCAGTGGTTGTGAATCTGGGGAGAGCACTCAATCTAGGCCATGTACAGTCAGCAGCCTGCCCCGCTGTGGTAATGCCTAGCCTTCTGGCCATTTTGAGAAACTTCACATACTGCCAGGCTGAGTCCGAGGACCTCCAGTTGTCGATGAGGGACCCTGGTGTGATGGCAAGAGGCTACATTCTGCTCATCCTTTTTCCCTTGGATTAATTTTTTTTCTGGCATCACAATCCAAGTTTGTGAGGAAACTGGTATATGAAAAGACCCATTTTACAGGTGTGGAAACTGAGGCTCAGTCTCCTCATAGCACCCCACCCCCTGCAAAGCTTGGCTTCGAGTTGCATCACCAGAGCCTTCCTTCCCTCTGGTCTCTGTGAAGTATGAAAAGAGGGGGGCCCAGGCCGTCATAAACAACCTACCCCAAAGCATCTCAGGAATGCCGTACAAAATAAGGGATGGCCCTAATTCTCCTCACAGTTGTTACTGCTCTCCAGTTATTAGACTATCATGACCCCTTCCAGTTTAGCTTTTAACCTCATCAGCCTTTTCAAACACAAGGGGCCATGCCCAGCTGAGAGCCATGGACCACAGCCAGGGAGCACCTGCTGCTGTGGCCTTCACCCCACCCCCCCACCCCCCGCCGGAGCTGGACAAGAACACCGTAATGCCTGAGACCAGCAGCTTCTCTCCACCCTGCCAAGCAGGCTCGCTTCTCTGAGGGAAAGCATGGTGCACTTGGCTCTGACTTGGAAAGCATTAGGGTCTGCTCATCTGAGCTCTATTCAATTACTCCTATTAAATGCATGAGCGAAACACATAGCTGGTGGCTTGGATTCTTGTTAAGCAAAATAAATGGGTTTCTATTTCAAATTGGAAGACATCTCTAACCAAAGGATCCAGACGAACGAAGTAACTTTAGACCTTTCCCTCTTCCACGGTGCTTCCCTCAGAGGAGAAATGTGCCTGCTTCACCAGAACCCTGGGCTGCTGCTGATCTGCTCGGCCTAAACCCAGCTAATTAAATTAAGTCACTGCCACCTCGCTCCTGACTGGGTGAAGAGGGGGGCTCATAAATTATGTTGCCCTGAGCTCCCCTCAAATTGCCTGTCCCCAAAGAAGGCTTCACCATTTGAGACAGCGCATCCAAAAGCAGTGTGAGATGGTGAGGCCCTCATAATTGGTCCTTGTACTTGCCCTGCTGGTGGAGAAATAATGAGCAGCCAGAGCTAGAGGGCTCAGCAATGCAAAAGGGCTTGGGCCCCAGAGCTCAGGCCAGGGGCCAGCCAGGCTTGTGCAAGCATAGCAGTCCAGGGAGCCACAATGCAGAAGGGCAGCATTAGAGCCTCCCAGGTGCGATACACCATCCTGAACCTACTCCTCGACATACTGTCCTGAACATACTTTTCAGAGCCCACAAGCCACACTAGTAAGTGGTGACCTGGACAAGGGGCAGCCAGCTGATCCTGTAGGTAGTATCAAGACCTCAGCCTGTACTGTAGGACAATGCACCACACAGACCCAGCAGTCGTGTGAGAGCAGCGTGGGGCTGGGTGCTGAGAAGGCCTTGGCACGCAGAGCCCCAGAGTGGCAGCTCATATGCCTAGCAGCTCTCAGAAGCTGCCGCAGAGCAAGGAAGAAAAGGAACAGAAATGACCCTTGAGAATCCCATCCAGTCACCCAAGGGACCTTCACGAGCACTTCAAATGCCCAGGGGAGTATGGGGTGTCCAGATCATGTCTCTGTTTCTCTGTGTTCCCAGCAGAAGTTACTATTTTTCTGCCAAAGCAAAGAAGAAAGCTCTCCATCACTTCAGCAACGGGAGTGGCCCCCATTATGTGCAGGAAAATCCCCTGGGTGTGTCAGGGGGAAGATCAGCAAGAAACGTGCAGGCAGGGAAGTAAAAATGCAGGCAGGCCTGGGATGGGAAGTTTGCAGAGCGCTAATCCCCCTGCACCAAGGGACTGATTTTAACAAGGCAGGCAGTTTGCGAGGCGATGCGGGTTGACTCACATGTGCTGCCATGGCAGGCTCTTCTGCTTTGTTCTGTGTTCAGAATTTCCACGTTTCAGGCTCTCTGATCAGAATGTGACTGCGCTGTGGAAGCCAGCTCCATTTTGCACAGCTCGACTCGAGAGACAGTTTTATATGTCACTTCTTTGCAACGCGCTGCCACTCAAGAGGCAGGATGTGGAGGGTAGTTTCAGGTTCCCTCACCATCCACATCTGCCTCTGCTCCCCTGTGAGCCAGGAGAGCACCCTGGGAAAGGAGCTGAGCCCCTCACCCCACCCCCAGCTGAGGAACAGCCTGATAATTGGGCTGTGCAGCTAGGAAAACCCAAAGGCCACAGGGGAGCCAGGGCAGGTCCCTCCCCATGCTGCCGTCCAGAACTGCTCTCCCGGGACTTAGACAAGAGCTGTAATAGCAGCCATTACAGAGCACCATACACAAGGCACTGTGCCAAGCACTTTACATGCACCATTTCCTTTAATCCTCATAGCGACTCTGTGAGGTGGGCACCATTATCCCCTATCACAGACAAAGAAACTGAGGCTTAGAAGAGCCGAGAAAGTTGGCCAAGGTCCCATGGCTGACCACTGATTAGAGCTGGCTTTCCTGTGCAGGATTAATTCCCAAAGGCTGTTGCCCTCCTGTTGGCCTGTCTCCTGGGGATATGTCTACTCCACGCTCTACTCTCTGGCTGGGCTAGGGGAGACCACTGCTCCGGTGGCTGGACTAGAAAAGATGGGCGCACAGAGCAAGCAGCTAAGGGCAATGGCCTCCCGCTTTGCCTAGACCAGTCCCAACATGCTGCTGGGAAGACTGACTCCCGTATGTGCCTTGGACAAAACTGCCACAGTACTCCCACAAACCCCAAGTTGGGTAGCAGTACAGTACCCCACGGAGCCTGAGGGGTCTGGCTCGGTGCCAGAAACAGCAGGGACATCAGAAAGTTTTTTCTTCTGTTCCACCCCACCATGTCTACCACGGGGCTGGAGACAGCAGGCTAGGCCACTTTGTGAGTCAACAGAGGGGTGTGGGTGACGCCAGGAAATGGAGCTGAAAATTGACCTTCTCCCCGGAGTCACTGCTGACATAGCACTGGTCGTGTGGCATGCATTGGCCAATGGCTTAATACACTGTAAAAAGGGGGCAAAACAGCTGCTCCTGTGTGTGTCGTGACCAGCATCGGAAAACCCACCAGTCTCCCTAGTAAGGGAAACCAGTTGACAACGTCTCACGAAGCCATCACCATGATGGAAGCCGAACCCAAGCAAGGGCTGCCTGATGAGGTGGCCACACCCTCCCCAGCCTTCATCATTGCTCTCATCCCCCCTAGATAAACACATGCTGAATGACACTCACTTTGAAATCCAAATCTAGAGACGAAATCCCGGGGTTGTCAGGAATCATCACACAGGACGGAGCATGACTTCCAGGGTGTGGCCACCCCCAACCAAAGCAGCTACATCTGCTAGCATTTCATCAACACGGTCAAGTTTGACTTTCAGCTGACCTTGAAATTCAGACTCCAGCAGAGAAAAGGTGTGGGTAGGGGATAGGAGCCAAGGGAAAGTCTCGAAAGGAAGCAGAAATAAAACAAGCTGTGACTGCTCTGTGTCCCCCCCAAATTAAAACCAAATGAACATATCAAAGGGCCTTCCCCCGGCTGTTTGGGCTCTAACACATCCCTGCTTTAATCAAGTCCTTGAGAGAGAAAGCTTCAGGTGCCCACAATTTCCTACCTGCTTGGCCGGCCCATCTAGGCCTGTGCCTGGGAGCTGTTTGGGGCCCCTTTCTCAAATACACAAGCCCTTCTGGGGTGCCCTCTCCCCAAGCCATGACAGACTCCCTGGGTGCTGACAAGGCATCTGGAAACTTTGCCAATCAGGCCCTGAGAACAGAAGCTAGTGATTTGTGGAAGGCAACAGAGGGCATCTCCACATGGGCCCTGGCTCAGACAAACCAGACCACTCAGGACACAGCTGCCACAGGATTGGCAAAGGACATCGGGGAGTACCAATTAAAGCTAAGGGTGCAATGTTGCCTTCTATCTCATGGTACTTCCAGAGGCTAGAGATGGGGAGAGCCCCTGATAGAGAGGCAGGAGGCCTTCCACCCTTACTGTGTACCAGGCCAGTTCTATCCCTCACTTGAGTCCCAGATGCCTCCACAGCGCAAGACTAGAAAAGATATAAATAATGAGCCTTTCCCCCCATACCCTGGATGTTTATAGACAAATGTGTGCCTAGCTTCTGATTTTATCAAGACTCTTCATTTCAGCCTGACAAGAGCCCCTAGGGGGTAGGACTATGGAGGACCCTTTTCAGAGAAGGGAGGTGGGCTTCCCAGGGCCACACAGCTGGCGGGCATGAGACTTCTTGCTAGGTGCCGTGCCAGTCTTCCACACTGCCCCTTGGGGCCATCCACCTCTGGCATCTGTTCATCAGTTCTAAGATAGCTGTGGTGCCTGTGCCTAGGGATTGTCCCCAGGAGTAATCACGGCACCTGTGTTCTACAGTAACCCTCCGAGAACCAGAGCAGAGGGAAGGCTGCTGAGAAACAGGAAGTCACAAGAGTGAGAGCCATCTTGAGAAGGCAGCGGCTTTGCTCCCCAGCCCCATCCACAGGAAAGAGTGCCAGCACTTGCTGAGGACTAGCTAGCTTCCAAGTGTTTCCCACCATCTTGTCATTCAGCTCCCATGAGCCGCTGAACAGGGAAATTGGACCAGGCCATCCCTAATGCATCAAAACGTCTCAAGGGCTGACGTGACAGATGAGAAATTCCACATGACATGTGATGGTCATGGTCAAGACACGAGCGCATGCGCCTTACAATGTCTGAAATTTTATACTGTATATGAGGAGACTTAAACTTGAGTTCTCACTCCCAAGACTCTATATCTATGCAACTATTCAAAAACTAACCGTGATCCAGAATACTCCTGAGCCATTTTGGAGAAGGGATAGTTAACCTGGATTATAAAACTCATTTTATGCATTCTTTCCTTCTTCACTCTGGAAATGCAATTGTTCTGATGTAGCCGCTGGACACAAAACTGGGGCTCAGAATCCATGACTTACCCAAGGCCTTACTTCAAGTTCAGGTACAACCCAAGCACATGAGTGTCATGAGGTCCCACAGATAGTCCTGGGCTCATCATCCCTTCCGCTAGAGGCTCCTTCTGGTGAGGTGCTCCCGAAGGTACAAACTGTACGAGCATCTCCAGCATGTTACTACGGCGTCTGTGGCCAAAACCCAAAGAAGCGACTTCAGGAGACAGACATCCTGGCTCACAGTTCCAGAGGTGTCCATCCGTCACGGCAGGGGGTGTAGAAGAGCAGAACCGCTCACACCGAGGCAACCAGCTAGCAGAGAATGGGAATTCAGGAAGGGTCAAATATATAACAAAGGACATGAGCCCAATGACCTTCTTCCTTTAACCAAGTCCCAACCCCTATTTTTACCACTCCCTCCAAGTCCTATAATGAATACATTCTGAGGTTAATCCTTTCATTAGGTCAGTGCCCTTAGGATCCAATCACTTCCCGAAAACCCATCGACCCACAACCATGTCCCCAGAACATTAGACTGTGGGGAAATTTTTCATTTCCAAAGCATAACATCTAGGAGTATGCTATGTGCGCTCTGACCTCCCAGTCAGTTTATCTGGGCTGGCAGCAGAGTTATCCTACCATGGAGTGCTAACGGGGCTGTATCAGGTTTGTCTCGTGTATAGTTGGACAACTCTGATGCAGCAGAGTCCCTACAAGACATCTCATAGAAGAGGCTGGTAGCTCCCAAGCTCAGCTCACCGCCACAGCCTGGGGCCCCATAAGTGGACAAGTCCAAACCATTATTCCTGTAGCTCCAGGCCAGAGCAGCAAGGCCAGCTCTGTGAGACCCTCCATACACATATGTGCTCTATGGGGCTTTCCTCCAGACATCCTTGAGCTGTGGGCACATTAAATCCTCTTCACACAATCAACCAAGAATGGCCGAGTGATAAGTCTCTCTAGGTCAGCCAGACCTTCAAGCTCACAATCCTTACCCCTAAACCCTCACCGAGGCTGCTACCAAAAAGCAGCCATGGCAGAACCACAGGCTTTCAGGCCAGATCACCTGGTTCCAATCTTGCTCTCACCTGAGCCTGCGTGAGGATCAATGTCATCACCTGCAAAGCGATGCCACAGAGCAGGGTGCCAACACGGGAGGCGGGGCGGGGGAGGGTAGGGCTTGGGAGGGGGCCTCAGACACAGCAGGCACAGCATTTATTGTAAAGGCAACAAACACTAGACACGGGATGCATGGAATTGCCAAATAAGGCCTATTACCCAGAATCCCCTTGTGCCACACTAGCACTGGCATGGGATTTGCAACTGAGTGGTGTGGGGGAGGTGAGAATGATACCAGGAAAGGAAAATGCACAAGATAGTCAAACTCAGCACTAAGCACCCACTGAAAATAGGATCACCCTGTGTGGTGCCCTGCTCAGTGGGCCTCCCTACCAAAGGCAGATGGCCAGCCTGCCCCACAGGTCCTAATCCTCTTGGAGGTTCATTTCCAAGGTTCCAGGTCACTGTTTGACTCTGATATGAGGAAAACCCTGAACAAGATTCAACCCTCAACAGTTGTGTCCTCCTGGTCCTAACCCTGGCCCTCAGGCTGTGGTGCAGAGTCCCTGTCTCCAAATTCTGCATTATCTCTGCCCAGCTCAAGGAAAACCCCTGCCACCCACCCAGAACACTGTGCATTCTCCAAGCCCTGGCTTGGAATGTCTGTCCTGAGGCAGCATGTGGAGGGAGACTTGAATAGAAGCAAGGACATGCTGAGGAACAGGAGACCTGCTAGCCATGAGAACTCAGGGAACGCAGGAGATCCCACATGTGTGCCCAGCAATAACTTCCTATAGCCAGGAGTCACTAGGAGCCTCTCTCAAGTGGTCAGACAGGCCTTGAGCTCCCAGAGATGTACTGTGACTGTTTCAGAGGTGGTCAAGGCTAGCTCTCCCCCACTTATGAACCCCTTAGCATGCTGGGGGGGACCTAGTTCACTTCTCTGTTGCTGTGATAAACACTGACCAAAAGCACCCTAAGGAAGGAAAGGGATTGCCTCATCTTACAGGGTAGAGTCCATCCAGGGCAGGCACTCTAAACAGTCTCAACAGCAGAAACGCAGTTCACTGGCCGACTCCCCCTGGCTTACTCAGCTACCT